CTAGCTGGCTCTTTCCCTCTCAGAGAGCTCACAGTCTAGTGTTAGACCCCGGCCAGAGCACAGCTAACCTGCTAAAATCTGTGCTGAGAAGCAAAGAGAAACACAGAGCTGGGGCGGAGCAGGGACATGGCAGGGGGCACGACAGCCTGAAGCAACACTGAGTGAAGGCAGAGCTGCGGGGAAGTGTGTGGAGGGGGACGGTGTCTGTTTAGAGATCCCTGACGATCAGTTCTGCGTAGCTGGGTTCTTGGTGCGCAGAGAGCTCTAGGAAGAGAGCCCAAGGTGGCCTCTGTGTGTTGGCTCCTGGCTTATGTCTGCACTGGAGGCCGAGACCTGTTAGTTCAGAAGCCCTCCCATGCCAAACTCAAGCCTTCACACATCCCATTATTTTAAAAATAGCCCAAACACACAAATGTTTAGGCAATTAGAGACCGCGTGCTTTGCTTACCCCATGACTCCCGGCCCAAGTGCTCTTACTAAGATAGGCCCCCACGCTGCCAGAGCCCCTTTGGAGTTCTCTGACCCAGAGACTTCCCACTGGGCTACTGAGCAGCATCACCTGGACACGTGAGTCCCTCCCTGATGCCCCTCTCCCCCGGGGCTTCCCTTGTCCTCCACCCTTTCTGGATGGCCTCAGCTTGAGCTCCCTACCGTCTGGGTCTCTTGCTGTGAGGCCTTAGCCTTTCCTGCAACCCCATCCAAGCCCCACGCCACCGAAGCTCGTGTGTGCTCCGCCACCTCGAGGTCCTATCTGCTCTCCTTGCTCAGCGCCAAATCCACCGAAGCCCTGCAGAGAGGCAGGGGGAAGGCTGCCATCAGAGGAGGGACTTTTACTCAGTGACCAGAGACACAAAGGGCAAAACGCCTTTCATTCCCACCCCACACTCTCCACATCACTCTGGCTAACCTGTTCCTGGCTCTGGGTAGTCACTCACCCGAGAGCCTGCGTCTAGACAACATGGCAGAAGTAGAGCTGTGCCGTGATCACCAGCCTCGCGCCTGTGGTCAAGATGCGAGTCTGTGAAAATTCTAGCTCCCCGGTGAGGAGAGAGAGTGCAAATGTGTTCCACTCCCTTCGGGAGCCCCTTACCTGCTCTATGCCAGAGGCCGTGGCTACTGGAAGCTACGGGACATTTCCTGTCCTGGTCTGGAAGCTGTAGAATCCTTGTGTTGCCCCCTCAGGTGACATCTCCTGGCCCAACTGCCTGCCTGCTTCCGGCCCTGTGTGGCCGCTTCGTGTCAGGTCTCTCGGCCTCCTGTCAGCTCTAGCCTGCTGCTGGCCCTGCCAGGGGTTCTCTGGGGGCTGGGCTCTCTCAGCTTGGCCTCATCCCATGGCTCTCTTAGGTCTGGGCGCTGAAGAATCAGACAGAAGTTTCCGTGGTCACCGTTTCACCCTGCTCACTGATCCTTCCTTTCTTTCTTCGGGGACAAATGAGGAAATATTTTCTGAGGACTTGCTCTGGGCAAAGTCTTGTGCTGAAAGCTTGGGATCATTCGAGTTGTCTAAGACTGGCCACCTGCTTCATGCCACTCACTGTCTAATTGGAGAGAACACACACACACACACACACAGAAAGTATGTTCACACGCAGAAAGTATAGTTCTAGCTGTGTGCTGTGGGTCGGATCATAAGTCTTCATACCTTCTCCGGCCTTGAGGTGTCCTGTATCACCGCTCCCCTCTGCTCCCCGGATTCCAGCAATAGTTCTGTCTGGGGCTCCAGGATACACCTCAGGTGCATACCCCACATGACTCTGCTTTATCACCCAGGGCCTTCCTACAGCCTCCTTGGCCTCCCAACTACTACAGGGGCACCCCTCAACGAAGAGGGCAGGAGTGGGGTGAGAAGTGCCCCAGCTTCCACCTTGGGCAATCATACCTGCGAGGCTTTCTGCACCGTTCCTCAGAAGGCCCCCGGGTGGAATGAGACCCAGTTGCCCACAGTGGTAACCACCCTACAGCACTTTCTTGTATTGGCTCCTCCCTTGTTACTCTGCCCATCCCAAACTTCTTCCAGAATCACCTACCAAATAACCTAACTGCAGCCAAGTCCTCATAGCGTGAGACACTCTCTCATCTATAAAGTGAAGGGTTTGGACTAGACACTCCCTCAGGACCCTTCCAGCCCTAGAAGCACCTCGGTTTTTAGACAAGAGAAGTACATTGCAGACAGTCCCACCAGAAGCCACACAGCTGATTAATGGCACATGCAGCAAGAACCTGACATGAAACTGTCTTGTTGGATCAGCTTTCCTGGAACCTCATCTGTAAAGTCATTTCACATAAAAGTCCCACATCACAACGTTTGGAAGCGCTAAGTTAATAACTCTATCCCAAATTCATGTCTTAGAACTTTAAAGAGTTTATACCTGGAGGCAATTTTTGGCTCCTAGAGTTCTCTCCAGCAACAGCTTCTCCGGAGGCATAAACAGAATCACATCTTTTTATTGTGACCTTTTCCTTTATCTCAGGGACGTCCCTGTATAGGAAGCTATTCTTTTTATTAAATGAAGTTCTCGTCTATATTCTGAGGGGCTGTTTGCCCAGTTTATATAAGGTAATCAAAATATCAGAAGGATGCTTTAAAGAAAGAAAAATATTCATGCCCATTTGTAATTTATGGAATGTGTATGCGTAAGTGTACTTGATGGTTTTGTACCCAAATGCTGTGAGCACACATAAAGGTGTGGATACAGGCCACAAAGTGACAGAAATAGAGTGAAAAGAGCCTCATGCTATATATTGCCTAGACAGCAAGCCGTGCAGGCCATATTGGTTGATTAAGAGTGCATTGATAAATTGGGTTTTGGCAACAAATCATGATGTTATATGAAGAAAGTGCTGAACCAAGACATAGGAGATTTTGGGGGGTTTCTGTTTTATCATTTCCAAAATAAAGGAAACTAAAACATTCGTGATGGGTTTTTACACTCTAAAAGTCTATCATTGATTGATTTTGACAGTACCACCTGTTGTGGGGAGGCAGCGAACCAATGAAACTAAAAGCATAAGACTCTGTATTCAGCCAAGGTTCGAATGCCAGCACCACTCCCTACTAACTGGGTGGTTTCCCAACACCAACAAACAATTCTCTGGTTCTCCAAACGCCGATGTTCAACAATTCAATTCCTTTCTGACACTAATTATCCGGAGTTGGTGCAGATCCCACAGATTAAAAGCTCAGTCCCTCCAGACTGCCCCCGCCCCATTTCTGAGGCCAGTCACAAGCCCTGGGCCACCTAGACTTCTGATCGGCTGGCTACCAACTGGGAATTCCTACAATCCCCTCTCCTTGGCTCAATAATTGAGAAGAGCTCACAGAAATCAGGAACACTCTGTATTTACATTTACAGCTTTATTATAAAGGATATAACTCGGGAACAACCGAGCAGAGGAGCCGGGGAGGTGGGGGGAGGTAGGGGGGAGGCAGAGCGTCGGTCTCCTCTCTAGGTGCGCCACCCTCCCAGCTCCTCCTCGTGTTCACCAGCCAGAGCACCCAAACACCCAACATTGTTATGCACGGGTTTACATACAGCTCAATCTCCAACCTCTCCCCGCTCCAGCTTCTTATTGTCTTGTTTATAACAAGCAGGTAGAGCTGCCAAGGACAAGACAATTGTGCCTACATTTTTTCAATTGTGATTGGATGGTGGGCACTCAAACATGGACTGCATTAAATGAAGTATAATGCACCGATTAAAGGAGGTGGTGGTCCCACTCTATTGGGCTCTGCAGACCTCTTCTGGGCTGTTTTTATCTAGCTCTGAGCATCCTGTTTTAACACAAATCTGGAAAAATGACCAATGACCACTAGAGGGCAAGGTGATGATGAAGGGGCCGAAGTCGCAGCGCATGGACCAATGAAACATGTTTATCTAGAGAATAAATGGCAAGACACACAGTAGTAGCCGCCAGATATTAAATTCGGTTCGTAAAGATCCAGGAACCAGCATCATGACCAATGGTAGCTACTTCAGAAAGGTTGATTTTTTTTAACTCTTAATGGAAGCCCAGTACACATATAGAAAACTGCACAAATATTAAATATACTGCTTGAAGAATTTTTTCGAGGTGAACACACTGAATCACCACCACCCAGATCAAGAAACACAACATTAATACCCAGAAGTCCCTCTCCAGGAACTCTCATCCAAAAGGGTAATCACCTGATTTCTAATACCAAAAATTAGTTTTGCCTGCTCCTAGGCTTTTCCTAAGTGGAACCTCATAGCATATGTCTGACTTATTTTGCTCATCATTATGTCCATGAGGCTCATCAATGCTGCTGCATGCAGCAAAGTTCATTCATTGTCATTGTGTATAGTGTTTTCCATTCTAGTCTGGTTGGGCATTTGGGCAACTTCTAATCTGGGCTATTATGAATAGTGCTGCTATGAACAATCTTATATATGGCATTCACTGCATATATGTATGTATTGGGTAAATACCTAAGAGTGGAATTTCTGGGTCACAGGGTACATATATTTTCAGTTTTAGCAAATACTGCCTCATAGTATCCCAAAGTGATTTTTTTTTTTAAGTTTTTTTATTTATTTATTTGACAGAGACAGAGACAGCGAGAGCAGGAACACAAGCAGGGGGAGTGGGAGAGGGAGAAGCAGGCTTCCCTTGGAGCAGGGAGCCCGATGCAGGGCTCGATCCCAGGACCCGGGGATCATGACCTGAGCCGAAGGCAGACACTTAACGACTGAGCCACCCAGGCGCCCCCAAAGTGATTTTTAAAATTTATTCTGGGGCACCTTTATACAACCTGTCTAGATAACACTGATGTCTGCTCATTTTTAAAATTCCTGTTTTAGGGGCGCCTGGGTGGCTCAGTAGTTAAGCATCTGCCTTCGGCTCAGGTCATGATCTCAGGGTCCTGGGATTAAGCCCCACATTGGGCTTCGGCTCAGCGGGAAGCCTGCTTCTCCCTCTTCCACTCCCCCTGCTTGTGTTCCCTCTCTTGCTGTCTCTCTGTCAAATAAATAAATAAAATCTTTTTTAAAAAAATTCCTGTTTTATTTTTAAGGCTGGCTGGCTTCCTAGGGGTGGCCCTCTGTCCCTTCGGCATAGTGCTCAGTGAGTGATTAAGCTAGTAAGGCTTTTACCTTTTGCTGTGGATCTGTGTGAAGATTGGGGAACACATTCAAAGTTTAGGCCAAATCTGCCCCAGCTTTTACTTTCTGTATGTGCAAGGCCTCACATTTGGCCAAGGATCGGTAGACTGCTAGGACCTGCCCAGGTTCTTTAATGAGCAAGCATGTTGCTTTATGTCTACACAGACTTCCAGACTACCAAGAATATGTGGAAGCCCATTCAAATATCAAAGCCCATGGCTGTCATGTTCCCCAGATTTTCCTGTAAATCTCTGGCTGTTCTGCTGCTTGTCCCCGTCAGTATCACAACCTCAGGCTAGTTGTGATGTTGATCTTACCTGACTGCCACAAAAATCACCATTATTTTGACAATGCCCCAAGCATGGATTTTTCCAAATGGTGCTCCCCATCAAGTCGGCCTAATCTGGCAGTGAGGTTGCAGGTCCTCACGACCTGCCCTGCCCTGGTAGAGGTTCCTAAGTGGAACCTCATAGCATATGTCTGACTTATTTTGCTCATCATTATGTCCATGAGGCTCATCAATGCTGCTGCATTGTGATTGGATGGTGGGCACTCAAACATGGACTGCATTAAATGAAGTATAATGCACCGATTAAAGGAGGTGGTGGTCCCACTCTATCGGGCTCTGCAGACCTCTTCTGGGCTGTTTTTATCTAGCTCTGAGCATCCTGTTTTAACACAAATCTGGAAATACATAGCTGAGGGGGTATGGCAGTAGCTCCAGGCCAATATGCCATGGATTCCCACCGTTCTCACCAAGGTTTTGTAGATTTTCTGGAATAAATGCTTCTCCATCTGTTGCATGCCTTTGGTCAATTTCCAGTGCTGAAATGGCTGTTTTTGACAATGTTTCCCATTTTATCATTGCCCTTTGGGAAGAGGATTTCCAGAGCTCCTTACTCAGCCGTTCCAAAAGTTCTCTCCCCTCCCCTTTAAGGAGGCTCTCTAGAAGAACCTATAACACTTTGACTGTCTGCAAGGGGGTGTAAGTATCTTACTGATCACACAGGGCAGCCATGGTTTAGGGTGGAAGGGGATTGCACAAGGGCAGAGATACAGGGGAGAGGATCATAGGGACCATCTTGGAGGCTGGCTACCATGCTATCCTCACCTCTCACCTGGACTACTATGATCAGTCCTTAACTGAGTCTGTTTTTGTCTCCCCAAAGTCTGTTCTCAACACAGCAGCCAGCAACCATCTTACATCCTATGTTGCTCTTCTGCTCAAAATCCTGTAACAGCTTTTCATAGCCAAGTAAAAGCCAGTCTTCACCATGGCTCCAAGGCCTTACATCATTTAGCCCTCACTGCCTTTCTGATTAATCTTCTACCACTCTCTCCTCCCTCACTCCACTCTAGCACAAATGCTATGCCTCAGACTTCTGCCCCAGGGCCCTTGCACTGGCTGTTTCCTCTGGCTGGGATCTGCCCAGATAACCATATGGCTGGTTCATTCAAGTATCAGCTGCTCAAAATGATCTTCGAGCACTCTTGCCATTTCCTTCTTATAGCACTTAACACATTGCCTGGTTTCCTCCACCAGGACAGAAGTCCCACAAAAGCAAGGGGTTTGCTCTGTTCTTGCTAAAGTCACATGCAAGGTAAATATCTGTGTAATATTTAAATAGATGGACTAATGAAAGTAGATGTTAGGCCCAGCTCTGCCCTGTTGATACAGTGAATTTTGTATATGAGACAAGGCAATTATGTATATGAGAGAAAGGCAAGAGGAAATAGGCGTTTGAGTGGATGGGCGGGGAGAAAGTGTAGCTATTAATAAATGAACAAGAAAGGGAAGTGTGGGGGGTAAGTCAGGAAAGTAACTATGTGATATGAAATAAATCATTCAGATTTGTAAGTCTATAAAGTCTAAAAAAAGGCTAAAAGTCTAAAAAGTTTAATTTGAAGGAATAACATTATGTAGAATTATGCAAACTCAGAGAAATAAAGGAAGTCTATCCATGAGTTGAAAGGAACAGACCAGCATACTGTAGTTAAAAACATTAAAAGACTGAGAAAAAATACATTAACATTAATGAAACTATGGTGGAAGCTTATCAGGGTATGCCCTCCGCATGGGATGAATGTTTCGGGGCAGCACCTGATGGAAGGACAGGATCTCCCTGATCTTGTCCTGGCAAATCTTGTTTGCTGCTACCCCTGCTTCAAACTCTCGGTGTTCCTCTGCTTTCTGCGCTTCCCGGGCCTGCTGCTGGTAGGATATTTGCATCTGAAGTTGCTTCCTGTATTCCTGGGCCAAACTGGAGCGCCTAAGGTATTAGAAATGTCAAGTACAAAATTGTAAAAGCAAGCATTTGGATTCATTTAGGGCATTAGAAGTAAAATGTAACTTTTGAAGTCAAATTAAAATTCCCATTAAAATCAGGGTGAGATGGGAAAAAATAGATGGAAAATTCATTAATGTGTTTATTACACAATAATAATTAAGATAAACAGAACAAATATTGATTTTAGGGAGGGAATGCTTCTGGCCCACTCAGAATATTTCCTGCTATCTGGAGTGAGTCCTTGGCCTCTCTCCATCCCCTCTCCCGCTCTTCTCCAAGGAATAAGTGACTTTTCTACTGGTCAAACCAGGAACAGGTTAGTCTGCCGGTTTTCCACTCTGCTCTCTGTCAAAGGGCCACAGCCCTGCCGGAGAGACCTGGCACTGCTGGGGTCTGGGTGGGTGTGTGTGTCTCATTCTGTTCAGTATGAACTAGACAATTTCCTCCATACATAAGCCACATTTTAAACATATAAACCACATTTTAAATTTTATAGTGTTTTTTTTTTTTTACTGTGGTAAAAAACACATAATGTAAAATTGACCACTTAACGATTTTTAAGTGTAGAGTTCAGTAGTGTTCAGGACATTCACATTGTTGTGAATCAGTTCTCCGGGACATTTTCATCTTGAAAATTTGAAACACTACACCCATTAAACAACAGCTCTCTTTCCCCCCTACCCCCAGCCTCTGGCAACCACCATTCTATCTGCTGTGTCTATGAATTTGACTACTCTAGGGATCTCGTATAAGCGAAATCATAGAGTACTCATCTTTTTGTGACTGGCTTATTTCACTTAGCATAATGTCCTCAAGGTTCATGCATGAGTTGGCATTTGACAGGATTTCCTTCCTTTTCAAGGCTAAATAATATTCGTTGTATGTATATATCATATCTGGTTTACCCATTCACGTGTTAATGGACATGTGGATTATTTCCACCTCCTGGCTATTGTGAATAGTGCTGCTATGAACATGGCTGTGTAAATACCTCTTCAATGTCCTGCTTTCAATTATTTTGGATATATACCCAGAAGTGGGATTGCTGGATCACATGGTAGTTCTAGTTTTAATTTTTTGAGGAAACTTCATACTGTTCTCCATAGTGGTCATGCCATTTAAAATCTATAAGCCACATTTTTAAATGTCAGCTTTTATCAGAAAAGAAAGCATGCACATACCTCTGTGGCAGATTCCATTTTCTACAGATGGTCACAGTAGCATCTCCCCTCCCATATGCTCTTCTGCGATGTGAACCTCTATTCCCCTTATCAAGAGGTGGAGCTTCAGTCTCCAGCCTTTGAATCTGGATAGGCCCCGGTGACTATTTTTATGACCAATAGATTATGACAAAGTGATGCTATGCCAGTCCTAGGCGCAGTCCCTAACTGTCTATTGGAACTCTCCCTGTCAGAACCAGCCACCACACTGTGAGAAGCCCCAGCACATGGAGAGGCCCCATAAAGGTGTTCTGGGTGATAAAACCAGCTGAGTCCTACACTCAGCACACACTGCCAGCCATATGAGTAGGTATCTTAGGTGTCCAGGGCAGTTGAGCCCTCAGGTAGTGTAGCCCTGGCTAACATCTGACTTGAACCACATGAGGGACCCCAAGGAAGAACCACCCAAGTGAGCCTTGTCACCAGAGAATCATGAGAGATAATCATAACTCACCTTAAGGCACAAATTGCAGGGTATTCTGTTATGCACCAATAGGTAGCTATGATACCTTCCACACATACTTGTTTTTCATCTCTCTCAGTTGATTCAGAAGTTGGGCAGGGAAGCACATTGCTATTTATCAAGTCCCCCTCACATCTCCAACAATAAATTTTTCAAAATGAGAAGGAAAGACCTCCAGAGCAGAGGCAGTAGCAGGAAGTAAGTAGGGTAGACCAGAAATTATTGTTAGTGCCCCCAAACTAACAATAGGCGCAGGTATATAAACCCCACTCTTTCTAGAATGAAAAGAGCTTATTTCTATGTACTGAGTATGTGTAAGTCATGGGACAGAGCCAAGGGATGGGAAAGGGGACCAGCAATTAGAGGAGCCAAGTCGTCTTCCTCCACCACACTGGTCATCTGAATTGGGTATCTTGGTCACCGGTGGGAAAGGAGTGCTATGGTCCAAGAAATGCTGCAAAGAGGCATCTGCCTGTTTCCTCCACCAGAGCCTCGTGGTGGCAATCAGAGGGGCATTGTCAGAGAAGGCAGTGGTAGTTCCCAAAGCACCTAGAACATTTCAGTTTTCCAGCCCAGTGAGGCTACAAAAATTCTTCTGAGGACATTTTGCATGGACTCCTATCCTCAGAAGCCATTTCTGCTACTCCAACTAATCAAGCCACACTGTGTTTCAGGGTTTGTTTCATGGGAAAGAATAGTCTTCTTGTTATTTCATTAGGATTTAATGTTGGAGCCTATTTTTAAAAAATTGTTTCTAACTTACTTTATTTTTTAAGGTATTCGTTCAGCTTGATACCTAATGTCTATAATCACAATGTATACAATAGCAATAAAATTTAATTTTACCAAGATGTTTGCTGCTTATTTTTATATGGAATTTTGTAAAATGACTGGAACTTTTAGGACAAATGTAATACTGATGTAAAAAAAATGTCAATAATGCATGAGTGATGGCATGTTGTCCTCTCTCTACATTAAAAATCTTCCCCGTTTTTAGGCAGTAAACAATAATAAAGAAAACAAAATCATACCTTGCAAAATTCTCCTTCTCTTCACGGTTAAGCTCTTTAAGACCTTCATTTATGCGTTCCTGTTCCATAGCACGCTCTTCCTGTTCTTTTGCCTTTCGTTGCACTTAAGAAAGACAAATGTAATTTTTGGTAAATGGCTTTCTTCAGACAAGACTTGCTGGCATCCCTCTGGGCATCAATGCCATCCTGTCTTTAGAGAGGCAGAGCCTACAATCACTGGGCTGTATCTTAGGTCAATAGGGTAGAAGTAGTCCTCTCCAAAAAGGGAAGAAGAGGGTTTAGGTTCGAATGTGTGTGATCTACACAGATTTTTTTCTTAATCATTTTTCACTGAAAACCTATGATCAGCCTTTTTCAAACCAGGTTACCACTATTAGAACACTTCTTACCTTTCTCTTCTTGAGGACAAACAGTTCTGTTGTCAATTTGTGTTAACAAGAGAGTTTATTTATGACAAAATAAATACTGGAAAAGGCCAGAGTTTATTATATATAAGGTATTTATAAATTAAATTTTAAAAACATAAGCATCCAGTAAGGGTGACAAAATTACAAAGAAAACAGAGTTCACAAAAGAATAAATACAATTGGGAAATACACATCTGAAATGTACATCTTTGGCCCCCAAATCCACTTATAGGAACTTTTCTTAAATAATCATATATAAGCCAAGAAGAACTATATACAGAGATAGTAACCTGTATTCTAAAATAGTAGTAAAAAGATTTAAGACAATCTGAAGGTCCATTAATTGTGTTTAGGTAAAATAAATCATGGTCCATTTTTATAATGGATTTCTAGGCAGCATTATAAATTTTGTAATTGGAGAAAAATGTTTATGATAAGTGGCAAAGGCAGGCTGTAAAACAATATATTCAACATAAATCCTAATTTACTATATACATGGTAAAAATACTGGAAGGAAATACACGAAGTTGTGAATAGTAGCTATTCCTGGGTGGTAGAATTATGGTTGATTTTGTTTCTTTGTTTAAAAATGGCCCCAAATACTTAAATTTTCCATGTTGTCTCAATATATTTTAAAACATTTATCATGGGTAAATACAGAAATTTGTTAGCTTATAAGCTTTTTTCTCATTTTCTTACAACTCCACCTAATATGGGCTTAACAATTTTCAATGGCTGTTATAATTCCTGGAGTGGAGAATCAATGAGTTTTCTCTTGCAAAGACAACTAGTGTGAAGTCTAATGGTACCCGAATGATAAACGTGTCCATCTTCTGCCTCTCCAGTTCACTGGGCTGGACATGGGACAGTGGAAATCTGAAGGTGGCAGTTCACCCTCTCAACAAATATTTCCTTTCGTGACCAAGCACTGTTTGGAGCTGAGGGCATACAAAGGTGTGCTAAGACAGGGATGTGAGCAAGCCACAGTGAGAGCCTCAGAAAGAGGATTTATTACCAATAAGGGGACATATTTGAGGAATGAGACATTTGAGCTGGCCTTGAAGGATTGCCTCGATTTCTCAAGATCAAAAGCATCATAAGCAGAGAAAACTACCCAAGTAAAGGTATGAAGGTATGGAGACACCTACAGAAAGAAAAGAGGGACAGGTAAAAGAGAGGAGGGGTGTGTGTGTTGTGCCCTATCTTCTCACTTCCCTTTATAGTCCCTAAGGTGCACAGACCATTCAACAGACATACTGTTCCTTTAACCTTGAGAACGTCTCCAACATGACTGCAGGAATCTGCTAGGATATAAAACTCTTCATATGTTTATACTCAATGTATTAAATTAGGTAAGTTCTACAAGGCAGGGCTCTTGCCTTAATCCTTTTTACATTCCTCATACCATTTTACATATAATACCTACTTAATAAATACTTTGGTTGCTACTTAAGTTGAATTAAGGCCCAACTATAATATTATTATTATTCATGTCCTTACGTTTCTCCTGAACTTGAAGTTTTCTTGTACACATGACCTCATTCACAAGTTGTCTCCTCGCCTCCTTTTCAAGTCTCAGCTCCTTGTCCTCCTCAGCCAACTTCTTTTCCTTCTCTGCCTCTAATACTCTGTCCAGTTCTTTCTCCTGAGCTCTCTCCTCCTCACGCCGCTGAGCCACATACTGACGATATATCTCCTGTTCTCTTGCCATCTCTTCCTACACAACAGAAGAATCACCTCACGTTGTTAACTTGTAGGTGTGATGATGGTACAGAGGTTAGGTTTTACAACAATCTTTTAGAGCTACAATCCCAATTTTTTAAAACTACATACTGACACATTTATAGATGAAATATTCTCTCTAGGGTTTAGTTCAAAATATTCAAGAGTGGTGGTAGGGAACGGGTGGGACACACATGAAATACAGAATCGCCGTTCGTTGGTGGTTGTTGAAGCTAAGTGAAGGGCATAAGGGCGTTTATTGTGTTATTCTTTGTACCTGTGCTTTATAATACATTTTTTAATAAGTTACTTTGAACACTTTCCCAAAGTGTTTTTCAAAGCAGTTCCCAGATAATTTTCAATTATACAGCTCTATCTGTATATTTATTTTCATTTATGTAGGTTATGAAATTATAACCTGATAAACAAAATAAGTCATTACCACTATGATAGCACTGTTTCTGACTAGAAGCTCGTCACTTGATACTTTGATGATAGACCTTCCCAGCCTTAGCTATACTTTGAAATCACCTGGAAGCTTTAAAAAGTACCAAGGGCTGAATCTCACTCTGAGACTCCAATCTAATGAACAGTGTTTAAGTTCTCCAAGTAATTTTAATGTGCAGCTAAGACTGTCAACTGGGCTTTGCAATGCTGGCATTTTTAACTGGCTTTTCTGTTATTCATGGTATTATACTTGTGCCGTTCCATCCAATCTCTGTCCTGACCTCTTTTGAGAATATCATAGATCTGGGGAAGCCCGACAAGGTCTGAATTGTACCCTCAAAATGACTGGCATTCATAGTCTCATACTTGGGAGTAAATTTAAGAAAAGAAGTGCAAAACTCATACTCTGAAAACTAAGAAACTGAAAAAATAAGTGGAAAGACAACCTACATTCATGGATCAGAAGGCAATACTGTTAAAATGGCAATGTCTACATTTGATCTACAGATTCAAAACAATCCTTGTCAAAATCCCAAATGGTTTCCATGGAGAAATCGACAAGCTGATTCTAAATTCATATGGAAATGCAAGAGAGCCAGAAAAGCCAAAGCAATTTGAAAAAGAACAAAGTTGGAGGATTCACATTTCCTGATTTCAAATTTACTGCAGAGCTACAGTGATCAAGCCATATAGATACATGCTACTGGCATAAGGATGGACACATAGATTAATGGAATAGAACTGAGAGTCTAAAGATAAACCCTCAAATTCACCGTCAATTGATTTTGAATAGTGTACCAAGACAATCGTATAGGGGAAGAAAAGTCTCTTCAACAAATGGTGCTGGGACAACTGATATCTACATGCCAAAGAATGAAGTTGGACCTCTACCTCATACCATACACAAAATTTAACTCAAAATGGATCAAAGGCCTAAATGTGAGAACTAAACCTATAAAACTCTAAGAAGAAGACACAGGACCACCATCTTCTTGACCTTGGGGTAGGAACACATTTTTAGATATAACACTAAAGGCACAAGCAACAAAACAAACTATAGATAAATTGGACTTCATCAAAATTAAAACTTTTACACTTCAAGGGATACCATCAAGAAAGTGAAAAGACAACCCACAAGATGAAAAATATATATTTTTTTCAAATATAAAATACAAAATATAAAAGACAACCCACAATTTATGTGTAAGGGACTTGTATCTAGAACACATAAAGCACTATTACAACTCAATAATAAAGACAGTCCAATTAAAAATTGGGGAAATGATTGGAATAGATTTCTTGAAATTTCAAATAGGTTCAAATAGATTTCTCCAAGGAAGATATATAAATGGTCAATAAGCACAGAAAAAGAAGCTCAACACTCTTTTTTTTTTTAAAGATTTTATTTATTTATTTGAGAGAGAGAATGAGATAGAGAGAGCATGAGAGGGGGGAGGGGCAGAGGGAGAAGCAGACTCCCCGCTGAGCAGGGAGCCCGATGCGGGACTCGATCCCAGGACTCCGGGATCATGACCTGAGCCGAAGGCAGTCGCTTAACCAACTGAGCCACCCAGGCGCCCGATATAACACTCTTGAAATGACAAAATTATGCAAATGGAGAATAGGTAAGTGGTTGCCAAGGGTTAAGAAGGGGGTGAGGACAAAAGGGAAGTGGATATGGCCATAAAAGGGAAACATGAAGAATCCTTGTGATGGGAATGTTCTGTATCTTGACAGTTCAATGTCAATATCCTGGATGTGATATTATACTATAGTTTTGCAAGACATCATAGAGAAAAACTGAATAAAGGGTCCACAGCATCTCTTTGTATTATTTCTTTCAACTGCATGTGAATCTACAATTATCCCAAAATAAAAAGCTTAATTAAAAAAAATAGTAGCAGACTCCTGGTTTCTAGTCCGGTATATAAGGAGCTTAGAAGCTGCCACTCTGGCATCCTGACAACAAGCAAAAAGCTAGCAAACTTACTAAATCAACAATCTCAGGGGCGCCTGGGTGGCACAGTCAGTTAAGCATCTTGGTTTCAGTTCAGGTCGTGATCTCAGGGTTGTGAGATTAAGACTTATGTTAGGCTCAGTGCTCAGCACGCTCTCTCTCTCTCAATCTCTCTCTCAGAAATAAATAAATCTTAAAAAGAAATCAACAATCGGGACACCTGGGTGGCTCAGTTGGTTAAGCGGCTGCCTTCGGCTCAGGTCATGATCCCAGGGTCCTGGGATCGAGTCCTGCATCGGGCTCCCTGCTCAGCAGGAAGCCTGCTTCTCCCTCTGCCTGCCGCTCCCCGTGCTTGTGCTCTCTAATGCTCTCTGTGACAAATAAATAAATAAAATCTTAAAAAAAAAAAAAAAAAAAGAAATCAACAGTCTTAGATCCATAAGAGAAGTGAGGTCTCCGGATTGGAGAGACAGACAAGTAAATATAGACAATCAGAACTTACCATAGTGGAAATCCATGAGCAGAAATTTCTATGGGAACCAGTGCTGAGGTAGGAAAACCTGTTAACTGATGAATTGCTAGAGGCTCAGTGTAGATGCCTCTAAGAGTTAAAAACTCTAAAGGGACCCAGCATTGAAGGGTGGGGGAGACCACACTTTTGTGAGTTTTACCCCCTGAAGCTCTATCAGGTTCGCACAGTGAGTATCAGAGAAAAAGCCTTTCACGCTTCCGGAGCAGGAGAAGAAATGGAATCATTTTGAAATACACCAGTGCATTCTATTCTTAGGTTTGCTCTCAGGAGAAACTATTTAACTAGAGCCTAACCTGCTGGGGTTTTATCTGAGCCTAACTGACCTGGAAGAAGGTAAATACTCAACTCCAGGACCCCTGTAGCCTTCCATGTGGGAAAAGGGGAACACCATAATCAAGGATTCCAATGACAAGGGAGCATCCAGACCCAAAGGCACCAGCTCTAAAGATAGAGGGAGGACCCCTTCCTCTGCTTGCTTGGATTTTTATGGCTTGATGCTGACGTCACCCTTCTATTGTAGTTATTACAGCAAAGGTTCAAAGCCAGTGGAACACACTAGACGAGGCCTGATCCTTCTCTGTAACATTGGTATGGTCCAATGGGTCTATCACATCTCTGAACATAGCAACACAGATGACCCAGATTTCATCTCCAGTCTTGAAGAGGCCCCAATTGTCCCTAAATCCAGATAATTCTTCTTACAGGGAAATCCCCTCCCAAATTAACAGAGCCATGTGCCTCCACTTTGTGGGGACCTCCCATACTATTCAGGAGGCACTGGAAGGAGTAAACTTAATGGCACCTCATGAAAGAGACACTTAACTAGACTCCCAGATTTTATAATACCAAGGCAGCCTGCAAACCCAAGGCCAGCCTTCAGGTGCCAAGCCCTGCAACCCACCTTTCAGAGCAACATTCCTGGAACCTCCTGGTCCTGGAGCTCCTATGCCAAATCTGTCAGGAAGCAATGTCTGAGACATTTCAAATAGCAGGGGGCCTTGTACTGGCAGCTCCACCAACTGGGGGTGCCCAATAATATATTGGGACAACCCGAGGTAAGCTCCTCTGTTTAAAACAAGTGATTACCTCACTACAGAGCCCAATCCTAATGTCTCAGAGGCCTTCAGAGAGTCCCAAGGCTCGCTCTCTCTCCCAAACAACTTCCCTGATCTGCAGGCTTGGCAGTGGCCCAGAGAATTACCCTAGGGATTTGGCAGACCCTCAGAGCTTGTCCCACCCGCACAACTGTCCATTTACAACTCCGGTGGCCCACTAGGTCAAAGGCAACCACCGGACGTTCCTGGCTCTATTAGACACAGAAGCCCAAGTCACAGTGATTCTAAACTCAGTCGTGGACACCGCGCATTCCTTTGCAAGGGGCACCCCTGCCAACCCAGCGGAGCTCACTGAGATCTGCTCAACTAGCAGTAGGGCCCATACTTGTGGTCCCACCCTGAGCCAGGCCTCTAGGATGTACAGTTGACTCTGAACAATGTGGAAATGCACAATGGTATATAGCCACTTTGGAAGACAATTTGGCGGTTTCTTAGAAAACTAAATATACTCGGGTGCCTTCAGCTCAGGTCATGATCCCAGGGTCCTGGGATCGAGTCCCACATCGGGCTCCCTGCTTGGCGGGAAGCCTGCTTCTCCCTCTCCCACTCCCCTTGCTTGTGTTCCCTCTCTCGCTGTGTCTCTCTCTGTCAAATAAATAAATAAAATCTTTAAAAAAAAAAAAGAAAACTAAATATACTCTTACCATATGATCCAGCAACTACACTCCTTGGTATTTACCTAAATGATTTGAAAACGTACAGCCACACAAAAGCCTGCATACAAATGTGTACAGCAGCTCTAGTCATAATCACTAAAACTGGAAATAACCCAGGATATCCTTCAGTAGGTGACTGGATAGCCTGTGGTCCATCCACACAATGGAATGTTGTTCAGAGCGAAAAGGGAATGAGCTGTAGAGCCAGGAAAAGGCATGGAGGAAACTTAAATGCACAGTACTTGGTGAAATAAGTGAATCTAAAAAGGCATCATACTGTATGATTCCAAATTTATTACATCCTATAAAAGGTGAAACTGGAGACAGTAAAAAGATGAGTGGTTTCTAAGGGTTTGGAGTCAGGGGAGAGGAATGAACAGGGGGAGCACAGAGGATTTTAGGCTAGTGAAATTACTCTGTTGATACTTTCATGGTGGCTACATGTCATCTTACATTTGTTCAAACCCACAGAATGTACAACACCAAGAGTAAACCTTCATATAAACTATGCACAATGACTTGTCGATGTAGGTTCATCAATGGCAACAAACATCCCACTCTGCTTGGGGGATGTTGGTAGTGGGGAAGGCTATGTCATATGTAGAGGCAAGGGGTACATGGGAAATCTCTGTATCTTCCACTCAATTTTGCTCTGAGCCTAGAACTGCTCTAAAAAATAAAGTTTATTTTTAAAAAGGAACAAAAAAAATAGTACCTACAGGAAAAGCACAACACCCTCAAGAGTTCAATACAAATTTCAAAAGAACAGACAACTGAATACATACTGTAATGTTTTTTGCTACTCTCTGCCTGACAAAACTTTACATATTTTTCAAGGTCCAACTCAAATACCACTTTCTCAGTATGTCTTCCCCAGCTTCTCAGCATACTTAGTCACTCACTTCCTTCACTCCCATCCTGCTATCACAGTGCCAACTCCATGTTATAGCAGTGTTCCAAATTCAGTGGGCATCAGAATCCCCTGGGGGAGCTTGTTAAAACAGATTTCTTGCCCCTGCCTATTTGAATTTGGAGACTCTGATTCTGGAGGCTATGAATTTCTATTGCTAACATCCTCCCAGATGATGCTGATGCTGCTGGTTCGTGGACCACACTTAAGAGTAGCACAGTATGGTTCATTCTACATCTGGCTGGCTCCTGTAAGACTGAAAGCTAAGCAAGCTACCTCATCCAGCACATAGTAGGCACTGAATAAACATCTTACTCTTTTTTGCTTCTTTTTATCAGCCTCTTCCTCTAAGTCGTGAAGAGCCCTTTGCACGAGCTTCATGTTCAAGTCCTGCTCTTCTCTGTATTTCTGCTGAGTATGTTCTATCTTCTCTTGGAGGGCTTTTTGCAAAGCAGCTCTAATTTCCTGTTTTGTCTTCCGTTTCTTTAGCTTATCCTGTTCGTTCTCAAGTTTCACCTGTGCTTTGTTATTTTCCTAAGGTAAAACAATAATGAAGATTATGCATCAGTACAGCTGTACAAAACAAATAAGGTAATGCATTTCACTTAAGAGATTGAGAATCAAGGGTTTCTTGGAGATACACACACCTGAATTTAGAGGGACTGTAAGATAGAAAACTTGTGGGATGGGTTAGCCCGGTGATGGGTATTAAAGAGGGCACGTTCTGCATGGAGAACTGGGTGTTATACGCAAACAATGAATCATGGAACACTACATCAAAAACTAATGATGTAATGTATGGTGGTTAACATAACATAATAATAAAAAAAATGGCTATGTCAAAAAAAAAGATAGAAAACTTGCTTTTCATTGCTGAGTCAGCAATAACACTTTGTGCTGTGAATGATTATGAAATAATAAATGGTTGTGGAGTTCAAAATGCAGAAAAGAATAGAGAGAAATCACTTTTAATCTTAGTACCCACCACCCACTACCACACTCAACACTTCAGTGTATTGGCTTTCTAGACTTTACTCTTCTCTGTACACCTGCAACATCTAGATATGGACACATTATTATGCAGCAGTAGGAGTCCCAAACTGGAAAGGTACCATCAGATGCATATACAAAATTAAATTGTATGCATTTTGTTCTTTAAAAGTAGTACTTTTTCCCCATTCCTCTCATTTCTTATCTTTCTGGCCCTCTGGGCTGGCTTAATTGCCTGGCCAACCAAGCAGTTTTAACTAGGGCACCAATGTTGTTGGGCATTGTGGGTTTGCTAGAAAATCTGGGTATGGTATAAACTGCAGCACTAGTCCTCCTGCCAGAGGCAGCTGAGCAGTCCTGGAGGGATAAGTACTTGCCCAGCTGGGACAAGAGATGACGTGGCAATAGTGAGGATGGTATACAATTCCCAATGTGATTTAACCAAGACTCACAACATCCACAATCACCATGATCACTGGTTTGTGAGAAGACAGTTATATGCTAGACTTTCCTATTAATGTCATGAATAGTAAACCCTGAATTGTAAGGGTCAAAAGAAAATGTGAAAATCCTCTGCCACATCTAATGAAAAGCAATGGCTATCAAAAATGAAAGCCAGTAGAATAGCAGGCCACATTTTTTTAAAAGTAAGTCTGACTACACCAGGACAAAGCAATCAGCCAAATCCCCACTATGAGACCTGGGGGAGATGGGACCAGACAGGCGAGAAGTGTTCAAGATTAAAAGACCTGAAAGCAGTTCATCAAGTCTTGGTTTCTCCTGGGTAGTTCTGATTGTGCCCCTGTTGTGCTGATGTAATGAATTTATTGCATCCCTTTCGACCTCAATTTTGCCCTGGTTTGAATAAGAAAGAGTCCTTCTTTCTGAAGGGACTCTAAGAACCATGTTTGGATTCTGATTTAAATATCAAGTAATTCAGACAATGATGGAAATTTGATGTTGATTTAAGGTGATAAAAAGGAGGGCGCCTGGGTGGCTCAGTTGGTTAAGCGATTGCCTTTGGCTCAGGTCATGATCCTGGAGTCCCGGGATCGAGTCCCGCATCGGGCTCTCTGCTGGGCAGGGAGTCTGCTTCTCCCTCTGCCCCTCCCCCTCTCATGCTCTCTCTCTCTCTCTCTCTCTCTCTCATTCTCTCTCTCAAATAAATAAATAAAATCTTTAAAAAAAAAAAAAAGGAATCACAGTTACTTTTTTTAGGTCTGATATTGGCATGTGTAAGAAAATGTCCTTAATCGTGTCATTGAGACGCATATTTGACATGTATTTAAGGGGGAAATGACATGTCTGGGATTGTTATTTTAAAACATAAAAATGGAGTGGGGTTGGGGGAGGTAGAGGAAACCAATATGGCAAAATTACATAGCTGCTGAAACAGGGAGAGGGGTAGACAGGGGTCCACTGTACTCTTGACTCTGTGCATTTGAAAATGTTCATAATAAAACATTTAAAAAGGGTGGAATTTATATAACATTCTCAAAATCACAAAATAATAATGATAAAGAATATATCAATGCTGTCAGAGTTAGGGTGGAGGGAGGTTATAACTCTAAAGGAGTAGCTTTAAAGGAGTTTCTTTGGATGATGGAACAGTCCTGCATCCTGATTTTGGTAGTGGTTACAAAAATCTATACATGTGATAAAATTTCACAGAACTACACCCCTTCCCCCCAGGCTACACGTAAAAACTGGTGAAATCCAAAGATTTTACTATATTTAAATAAAGAATGACTTTAATTGAAGGTATTACACCAATGTTAATTTCCTGGTTTGTTTTGTTTTCAAATGCAACTTATTTTTGCATGTTTATTTTGTATCCTGCAACTTTACTGAATTTGTTAATTAGATTGAACAGTTTTTGGGTAGTCTTTAGAATTTTTGCTGTATAAAACATTATCATCTGCCAATAGAGGCAATTTTACTTCTTCCTTTCCAATTCTGAATGACTTTTGTTCTCTTTCTTACCTAAGTGCTCTGTTTAGTAGGACTTCTAGTACTATGTTGCCCAGAGTATAACAGTAACAGTAGGTAACCCCTGCTGGGTTTTTTCCTGTTTTTAGAGAAAAAGCTTAAAACCTTTCACCACTGAGTGTGATGTTAGCTATGGGCTTGTCATATATAGTTGTAATTATGTTGAGATACCTCCTTCCATACCTCATTCATTGATAATTTTTAACATGATCGGATACTGAATTTTTTCAAATGTTTTTCTGCATCTATTAAGATAATCATACAATTTTTGTTAATTTCCTGGTATTTATAGTTATATATACAAATATATAAATACAAATACAAATATAAATACATACATATATAATGTTTGGTTACATAAGGGTATATACAGGACCTCAACTATTTTTGCTCTTCTTGTGAGTCTAAAATTGTTTCCAAAAAAATGTTTTTGAAAGGAAGGTAGAAATAGAGCTAAGCATGGTATAATGAAAAATAAATATTTGGTCTGTATCTCTGTGTCCTGGTACATAGCTTCTAAAGCCCTTGTGATCTCTCAAGTGGTAAGACTATCTTTTGTACCCTCATGTTATGACTGGTGGCTGGAGCCCCTACATAACTTCAGGGTGGGGCTGGTAACCAGAAAGACCAAACCATATGATTAGAGGTTTGAAACTTTCAGTTCTGGATATCCCTCTACCTCCAGAGAAGAGAGAGGGGCCAGAAATTGAGTTCAGTCACCAATGGTCAATGATTTAATTAATCATGCCTACATAATTAAACCTCCATTAAAATGCCAAATGATAGGGTTGGTGAACACATGGAGATTGGGAACATGGTATGCTCAGAGGGTGTGCAAGCCGTCTGTACTGCCCCCCATACCTTGCCCTATGCATCTCTTCCATTTGCCTGTTTCACAGGCAATAAACCAGTGATATAGCAAGTAAAGCACTTTCTTGAATTGTATGAATTATTTTAGTGATTTATCAAACTTAGGGGGAGTTATGAGAACCTCTGACTTTGTAGCCAAGTCAGACCGAAGTGTGGGTAACCTGGGGACCCACCACTTGTGACTGGCCTCTGGAGTAAGAGCAGTCTTCTGGGACTGAGCCCTTAAACCTGTGGAGTCTAATGCTATCGCTGGTAGCTAGTGTCAGAATTCAATCAAATTGTAGGTCACCTAGTTGGTGGCATCCATAGAGAATTAGAGAATTGTTTGGTGTTCTCACACCCACACATTTGGTGTCAGAAGGACTGTGAGTAAAAATGACTCACTAGGTATCTTAGAACAGAAGTAATTGGGGGGCCACCATTTCAATTTTCTTAGAGAAGCTAAAATATTTAGACATCTTCCACTAAACTCTCCAAGAGAAAACAGTCTCAAACCCAGGAAGGTTTTTAGCGCTCTGAAATATCTTACCTTTGGCACTTCTTATGGTTCTAAGTTTCAATACTTGGGATTTCCCAGGAAAATATATTTTTTTTCTTAAATTTGGTGGTATTAAAGTATCAGTTGCTGGAAGCTTTATATACATATAAAATTGCTACTTTTTTTAGTGCTTTCATACATTTCCAGTGACAGTTCTAATTTCTCTGTAGTAGGGGCAACGACCTTGTTGGAACGAAATGATTGAAGTTGGTGCCTGGGGTGCAGAGGCCACTGTAGCTGTTGTAGAGCACTGACATAGGATTTGGAAACTGTCAGTTACCCATATCAAAGAATAGGGGGATGTTGCCAAATTGCCACCAGCCCTCCATGGTCTAGCCATGATTATCACGTTTCATCCTCACAACAAAGACAAGTGCCTTTTGCCTCATTTTTTAGATAAAGAGATCAAGTCACAGTAGTGAAGTAATTTGCCCTATGCAATGGGATGGCACTGTTGACTGGGCCTTGGACTCCAAGGCTCTAACCATGGTCTGCTGCCCTGTGAACTAGCCAGGCCATGAGGCAAAGGGCATGGCAGCAGGCCTGCAAACTATGTACTATACCCACAGAGTGGATCAACCCGCGACAAGCATCGTAAAAGGCCCACCACAAAGCGTGCCTCCTCTTCCTTCAGCTGCTGCTCAGCCTGCCTTTGCACTTTGATGCCGGTGATCTGGGCATTCAGCCCCAGGCGTGTGTTCTCCACCAGCTCTTTCTGCCTCCTCGCCTCTTCAGCTTCTCGCTTTTCCTTGGCTAATCGGTCTTCCTCCCAGAGCTTTGAGAACATCTGCTCTTCCACCAGTTTCTGCCTTTTCAGCTCCTCATTGAAAGCTATCTGTGCTTTTCGCTCCTCCCACACCTTCTTCTGATGGATACAAAACAATTCAGCACGGAGCTCCTCACAGCGTTCTCTGAAAGGAGAATTTATTTTTAAAAGGCAAAACCCAGCCTTTCATGAAACACTGCTCTATTCAGGCACACATCTGCACAGACACTGAAGTATGAAAAGTAAAAGACCTGGAGGTAGACCACCAGAGCCGAGAAGACATGTGAGGGGCAGCGGGGAGACAGGCATCATGATGTCACAGGCAAAGCACAGGCACTGGCGTCCGGCCAAGCAGACTTTGAAACCGCGATCTGACATTTCTGTGTGACCTTGGAGCACAAACTCGACCTATCTGAGCCTGTCTCTTTATCTGTAAAACAACTCTCTTTCAAGGTTCTGGTAAGGATCAGAGAAAATGGATGAAAATATCTGGTAGTGAATAGAAGCTAAATAAATGGTAACTATTATTATTACCATAGAGGAAATAGAAGAAGCATGGGTCCCTGCAATATTACAAGTAGATTAAGGCTTTGGTAGGAAGAGGCCCTGCATGCCAAGGAAAGAGTTAAGGGTCAGCATATCATGAAGCTGCCCCAATGCCCCTAATTCCTGGTGGGACACATGTCACTGAAAGGGTTTCTGCCAGAGCTGGGAAAATAGCCCAAATGCTACCTTTTCATATCTAGACTTATGTCACCATTCCAGAAGAAATGCTCTTTCAGTAAGTGTTTAGACTTCATCTTTTCTCTCAGTCTTAGTAATTTAAATTTCCTCAAAAGTTCTTCCTGGAGCCTGTTTTTAATTTAAGGGCTATGATATTCAATACTGTCTACACTTTAGATTTACTTAGGGGTATCTTTAAAATCCTATTCTCCACTCCTTCCCTCTGCTACTCCCAGACCAGACTAGTTAAATCAGAATATCTGGGGGCAGGACCCAGGTACCTGTATTTTTTCAGACAGCCTCAGAAACTTCTGGCACATAGTCAAGTTTGAGAACCTCTGATTCAAGGTAATGTTTATAAACATTAAGTCTTCCTGGTTTCATCAAGTTTAGCACCAAGAAGCTGAAATTTGAGAATGGGCTCAATAAAGAACTTCAAAGAACTTTAGTTGCTAAGGCTGAAAGAAAGGTTGATGTCTAAAATTACAAGTGTGGTCAATACCACAGAAACTGACATTTATCAAATACAGTTGAGTATTGTTCAACATTTGATGAGGACTAGTCTCATTTTCCTAAATAAAGGGGAATCTCTGTGAGGGCTCGGACTTAGGAACATATTTCAGGAATATATTCCCCATACTACCTACCCAATGTCCATTAAATAATTGTTGGTTAAATTGATATACAGTCATGCTTATTAGCAAAATAATGATAACTGGCAGTTATCTATATTCTGTGGAAATCTCAAAAAGATTACAGAAGCTGAAATTGCTAGGTTACCAAAAAAAAAAAATTTTAACATTGAAAAATGAATTCATCAGTGAAATTCTATCAGAATTGGCCATGACAACTAATTAAAGTCCTTCCCAATCCTATGACTTATACTCCAGAAAAGTTATTCAATCAATGAAAATCTGAAGCCTAAGAATAACAACAAATATGGTTTATGATATTTAAAAAAAAAAAGCTTTCTAATTACAAAACTAATACATGCAGAAAAACTGGAAAATATAGAAAAGTATGAAGACACTAAAAATACGCTTAATCCCTCTCCCCAGAGATAATTGCTTTTAGCATGTTATTGTATTTCTTTCCAGTCTTGTGTGTGTGTGCATTTTTACTAGAATTGGGGTTGTTTTGTAGATCTATATACCTATACTGGTATCTCCTTATATTTTAATTTTTCCACCTAACATGATTTGGGGAATGTTTCTTCAAGGAATCCTCTTAAAATACCTGACCTCACAACTTTATTATAGTTTATTAAGCTATGGAATAGAGTCTACAACCTAAAAATATATCAATTTATTTAAATATTTCCTTGTTTGATGAACGTATAGGTTACTTCTGACTTTTACTATAATGTTGCAATGAATATTTATAAATGTAGCTCTTTCTGCTTACCTCTGATGATTTCCTTAAGGTAATTCCTTTCCTTAATATAAAATTAGAGTACAAAAGTCTTGCAAGGCACCTGATGATGCATGTTGCTGAGAAAGCCTGAATTAACACTGTATGAAGATGCCCATATCAAGTATTTCTTTAGATCAGTAGATCTTCAAACTTTGATTAAGTATCCTTTTTCAGTAAAAAAAATTCTAAGCACCCACAAACAGGTAGGATTATTATTTATAAATTGTATGCAATTATTACTATATTACTATATCACATAAATTATTAAATATAGCAAAAATAAAAACCAAAGACAGATGAGATTTAAAAAAATATATCAAATATTTCCTCCCTACATCCTAATGATTCACCTATTCACTTAAAACTTGAGAACACTTGATTCAGGGAAGCTCACTTTTATCTACAGATAAAAGTGTGTCTATCTATTTTCATTATAATAATCATTGATAAGAGGAAAACGTTTTGTTTGTGAGTGTTTTACATGGTACTTTCACAGTAAAATCTTATTTTATCCTCACGTGTGTCTTATAACTTAGATGGAACAGAAAGTACTATCCCCATTTTAGAGTTACACCAATTGAAACTCAGGGAACCTTAGTGTCTTCCCAAGCCACATAGCCAATAGTTGTAGTATTATTAGCAACAGTTATTGAGTGCTTATTATTTGTCAGGTGCTGTTCTAAGCACTTGACACATATGAACTCTTGTGATCTTCATAACAACCAATGTTGCAACATCACTCCAAGTTCATTCTTCTTCTTATTATCCCCAGTTTAGATAAAACGGAAGCACAGAGCAGTTAAGCATCATGGGTAAGTTCATACATTTCATATGTGCTAGAGCTGGGACTGAAGGCCTGGTAGTCTGGCCCTGGAATTTGGGTTCTTTGGTACTTTGTTCTATCACTTCTCTCAGTAATTAACAAAGGCAAGACAATCCTCAAGTGTTCTGACAACACATCCTAGGGTATTCATCTAATAAAAACACCCCAAAAGAAAACAAAGCCAAAAACTGCCTACCTTAATCTGGGATCCAATCACTAAGTGTATATAAATATAGAACACTTAAACACAAATTTCATGGGACGCCTGGGTAGCTCAGTCGGTTAAGTGGCTGCCTTCGGCTCAGGTCATGATCCCAGGGTCCTGGGATGGAGCCCCACATCGGGCTCCTTGCTCAGCAGGGAGCCTGCTTCTCGCTCTGCCTGCCGCTCCCCCTGCTTGTGCACTCTCTCTCTCTGACAAATAAATAAAATCTTAAAAAAAAAAACAAATTTCATGATGTATCAAAAGCATCATCCATAAAAGAAATGTTGATAAAATGGATTTCATCAAACTTAAAACTTTCTGTGAAAGACCCTGTTAAGAGGATTAAAAAAAAAAAACACAACTACAGACTAAGAAGAAAGATGTTTCCAAACCACACAGCCTGCACAAAGGACTCATATCTAGAATATGAGGCGCCTGGGTGGCTCAGTCGGTTAAGCGGCTGCCTTCAGCTCAGGTCATGATCCCAGGGTCCTGGGATTGAGCCCTGCATCCGGCTCCCTGCTCGGTGGGAAGCCTGCTTCTCCCTCTCCCTCTGCCTGCCACTTCTCTTGCTTGTACTCTCTCTCTCTCTGTCAAATAAATAAATAAAATATTTTTTTAAAATAGAATATATAAAGAACTCTAAAAACTTAATAGCTAATCCAATTAGAAAATGGGCAAAAGAGGGGCGCCTGGGTGGCTCAGTCGTTAAGCATCTGCCTTCAGCTCAGGTCATGATCCCAGGGTCCTGGGATCGAGCCCCACATCGGGCTCCCTGCTCAGCGGGAAGCCTGCTTCTCCCTCTCCCACTCCCCCTGCTTGTGTTCCCTCTCTCACTGTAAGTAAGTCTGAGGTTAATATCTAAAATTCAATAACAGAATCTCACTTGGTACCTTCCATTCTAATTGGGAGATAAGCACAGAACACTAGAGCATGGGACTTACACAAACTCAGTACCTGCATGAATGGACATGAGCAATACAGTAGACCACAAGTTTTCTACCATTATCCCCCTATAGAATCGATTTTGATAGTCGCCCATGTATGAGAGTACCTTTGTGGGAGTCTAGGAGCCCAGTGGGGAAGGCACACCACTAGAGCCAAAAATCCGATAATAGACACATTTGAAAGGATTGAGAACAGCTTCATTTTACCCATGTCACCTCTCCCCCAAGGTGGCAAAACTCAGTGATAAGAGAGATGTCCCTCAGTCCATGATTTCTCTCATGGGAGAAAGTGAAAGCATGTAAGTAAGCATTTGACTTCCCCCAAGTGGCTCTGCTTCTTTCTTGCCCCACCCAAAATACTGAGGTGCATGGCTGAAGGGTTGGAAGAGGTGGGGAGCACAGCAACCAGGGCCTGGAACTCATCAAGGGACATGGATCTTCCTAACTGCCACATGGACTCCATCATTTCAGATGAATTATAACACTGTAGGATATAACTGTTTCTTCAAAAAGCTAACAATTTATCTAACTAGCAAGTGATACAACTTCTCTATGAAGCTGTATACTCAGTTACACAAGATTTGTCTGTAAGATCAATAATTGGGGACATCTTGCCTGCAAACACACCAACTGACCCATGAACAACCCCATTACTCCATGGCACACCCCCTGTGGCCAGCTGCCTTCATATGCTCCACTAGACAGTGAGTATGAGTCTTTGCAGATGGCTAGCCAGCATAAACAGAAAGCTAGCCCAACTCTGTGAGCCTGGGAGAAGGTACACAAATTTGAGGATTTCAGGGTACCATACTAGGGAAAACAAATGGAAGGCTCTCAGCATCTGGCCTGGCTTTTCAGAATTGAGAGAAGACATATAATCTTAAAAATCCTCTCCCTGAAAATAAAGAACAAGAAGTGAGGGGCAGGCACATCTGTAAAAAGGTCTGAGAAAGCCTCAGAATCCCTAGCTGGGCTGACTGATGAAGGTATTTCTCTCCTGAAGCAATCCAATAAAGACTGGAGGAGGTAACTGC